CTTCACTAACAACAATGATCTGATACGTAATATAGCTGTACCAAAGACAATACACTCAGATCATAACATAACAGAGGTACAGACACATATGCACAGGGCTCCTGACCAACAAAATGTGATCAGTCATGAGGGTGTCTTCACAAAATTTAACTTCCGTAACAAAAACATACAATGGGAACAAGTCAACCATGTCCTAAATGAAACAAGCTGGGAAGATATCCAAAACAACGTGGATCTGAACCTTTGCCTAGAAAAAATTAATTCTGTGGCATTTGAGGTCTGCTCAAGGCCCATTCCATTAAGAAAAAGAGAAGAAGTAAACTAGAAAGAGAGAGACGCTCCCTATACAGACAAAGGTGAAGAATCACAGAGCTGCTGAGAGGGGCCAATATATCTGAAATACAAAGGGAGGCACTGGTCAGAGAAATAGCAAATACTGAACTTAAGAGTAAGGAATCTTACAGGAGACAAGAATCTCAGGAAGAACTAAAGGCCATAAAGGAAACTGAAAAAAAAAAATACTACTACTATTGCCAAATCTAAGATTAAAACAACATCCAGTATTGGGCCTCTGCTTAGGTGAGATGGGACCAGTGGCATCCCCGAGGCCACCGCCCCTCGGGCGGTGGCCTCGGGCATCCAAATGGATGGGGGGGGGGGGAGAGGATCCAATTAGAGAGGGGAATAAAATAGTGATTTGGGGCATACAATCAAGGAGTCTTTGGAGTATACAATCAAGGAGTTGACCCTGGGCATCACCACACCTCTACCACTGGATGGGACATACACAGATGACAGCCAAGAAATGAGTGAGATACTAAGGTCTCAATATAACTCAGTGTCGACTAAGGGTCAACAATTTGAATGAATTCTATGACTGAGACTCAAAATTTGGTCATCTCAAAAATCTCTGATATTATCCTAACACCACAAGACTTTGAAAAGGCAATTAATGACATGCCCATGCACTCTGCCCCAGGTCCAGACTCGTGGAACTCCATGTTCATCAAGAACTGCAAGAAGCCCGTCACGTGCCTTCAGCATTCTATGGAGAGGGAGCATGGACACGGGTCATCCCACACTCACTAAAAACAACAGACATAGCCCCACTCTACAAAGGTGGCTGAAAAGCAATTGGCAAGAACTACAGACCGATAGCACTAACATCCCATATCATAAAAATCTTTGAAAGGGTTCTAAGCAGCAAGACTGCCAACCACCTAGATACCCATCACTTACACAACCCAGGGCAACATGGGTTTAGAGCAGGTAATTCCTGCCTGTTCCAGCTACTGGACCATTATGACAAGGCCCTGGATGCTATAGAGGATAAACAAAATGCAGATGTAGTATGCAGAGACTGCAAAAGCCTTCGACAAGTGCGACCACAGTGTAATAGAGCACAAAATGCGTGACAAAGGAATAACAGGAAAAGCTGGTAGATGGATCTGTAACTTCCTAACAAACAGAACACAGAGTAATAGTAAACAGAGTGAAGTCTGAGGCAGCTACCTTGAAAAGCTCTGTTCCAAAAGGCACAATACTTGCTCCTATCCTATTCGTCATCCTCATATCTGACAGAGATATAGGCCATAGCTCCGTGTCTTCCTTTGCGGATGACACCTGAATTGCCATGACAGTGTTCTCCATCATAGACACTGCAAGACTCCAAGTGGACATCAACCAAATCTTCAAATGGGCCACTCAAAACAATATGAAGTTCAATGAAGAGAAACTACTCAGATATGGAAAACTTGAGGAAATTAAAAATGTATCAGGGTATACAACAAATTCTAGCCATAAAATAGAGCGAAAAAGTAATGTGAAGGACCTGGGAACGATACTGTCAGAGGATCTCACCTTCAAAAACCACAACAATGTATCTACCACATCTGCTAGAAAAATAATAACGAGAACCTTCAAAACTAGGGACGCAAAGCCCATGATGATTCTCTTCAAATCAACTGTTCTCTCTAGCCTGGAATACTGCTGGACACTAATTGCCCCCTTCAAGGCAGGCAAAATTGCTGACTTGGAGAGTGTACAAAGAACTTTCATGGCACACACAAGTACGATACAGTACCTAAATTACTGGGAACAGTTAAAAGTTCTTTGATTTGTATTCCCTGGAATGCAGGCAAGAGAGATACAAGAAAATATACACTTGGAAAATCCTAGAAGGATTAGTACCAAACTTGCACATGAAAATCTCTCCCTATGAAAGCAAAAGACTCTGCAGGAGATGCAATATACCCCCAATGAAAAGCAGGGGTGCCACGAGTACACAGAGAGAACACAATAAGTGTCATAAGCCCAAGACTGTTTACCTACTTCCCAGCATACATAAGGAGGATTACAAATAGACCCCTGGTTGTCTTCAAGGAAGAACTGGACAGGCACCTAAAGTCAGTACCTAAGCAGTCGGGCTGTGGTTTGTATGTCATTTTGTGTGTGGCCAGCAGAAACAGCTTGGTTGATCAGACCCTAATCCACCATGAGGCCTGGTCTCAAACAGGGCTGTGGGGGCACTGACCCCTGAAACCCTCTCCAGGTATACTCCAGGTATGCAAAGATTTGGGCAAATGATAACAGACCAATTCTAGGTACACTAGTACAGTCAATGGTAGTGGGGACACTTCCCTGGACATGTTTTTGGTGTGGGCATATCATAAAAAATTCATTCAAGGAACTGATGCACCCAGATCCTCACTTGACAAACACACATTGCTGACTTCAAATATTCCCATCATTTGATGGCTGCCTTATGTAATCTAATGATCTCAGCAATTCTTTTGTGTCAAGAACTTCGTCCTGCCCATATTAGTCGATAGACAAAAACTGTCCGACAAACTTGGCCCTCAAGATCACATGGTGCGGGAGACCATGAACACAAAGCCTTCCAAAGGACAAGCCCAGAAGTCACTTAAGATGTAGCCAGTAGACAAAGGGAATCCTGAGACGCCATGTTTCAAATTGCCAGGCCAGCATAACTCATCAACAAAAGCACCAAGGTAGGATATTACTTTGGACATTAAATTGCACTGGGTGCCTTCTAGCCATAACATTTTAATGATGAGCACTGTAGATACTGATGGGGAGAAAAATAACCTGATATTTATCCTTTTATATAAACCACCAACACCACTCAGGAGTTCACAGAATGGATAGAGATGGCTACCTCGAAAATCTCAAAAAATCCTACACCAAATATTATCCTCCTCAGATATCCACCTCCCAAATGTGAAATGGAAGATGGTAAACAGCAACATTGCACCAGAAATAGTGTCTGGAAGCATGTTAGCCCAGCCAATACATGCCAGAGCTAATGGGCCTTAAAGAGTGTGCTTTGATCCATCAGATAAAAAAACCTACTAGAAATAACAATACATTATTGATCTTCATGAACAATGAGGAACAAGCCAAAGGCAAAAAATTTCACAAACAATAGACTTGGATAACAACCTTATAAAAGTACAAGTATAAATTCACGGATGAAAAAAAAATGAAAAGGAATATTTAGTAAATTTAACTTCAATAATCGGAGAACTGATCGGGAGAAAATAAACAAAGAACTACATGTAGGTGACACTATCTGAGCACCTTCAATTCACAACAGTGCATGAAAAGGTTGAATAAAGAAGTAAGCAAAGTCTTCATGAAACTTGTTTTGCTAAGCCAACAAGATCAAGTACAGTGGACCCCCGCATAACGATTACCTCCGAATGCGACCAATTATGTAAGTGTATTTATGTAAGTGCATTTGCACGTGTATGTTTGGGGGGTCTGAAATGGACTAATCTACTTCACAATATTTCTTATGGGAACAAATTCAGTCAGTACTGGCACCTGAACATACTTCTGGAGTGAAAAAATATTGTTAACTGGGGGTCCACTGTATATGTTACAATATGTCACAATGAAGGAAAGACAATTTAAACTGAGCAAATACCAAAATAGAACAGAAACTTAATTATTCATGTCAGACAAAAACAGTACAAAGGGTTAATTACTGTTGGCAGCATATGTGGGCCCATTTACATTTTTTTTTTTTTGTAGTGCAAATCAGTTATGGTTGTTTCCCAATAATTTTTTTTTTTAAATATTAGGACATTTTTGGACCACATTAATCAAGAGTTGACTATAAACTTCTTCCCATAGATGCCTTAACATACCACCTACTTCTCCCCCCCCCTTACCTATTCTATGATTTACCTTGCCTTTAATAGACCCTTGTCTTTAATAGACACCTACACTCCCAAAATGTATCTAAATACATTCACTTCCTCCATATTCCCTTCTCCTATTAGTAACTATGCAACAATAATGATTTTTTGAGTAGGTTCTCATTACCGCATTAAATCTTCCCAGGGGCCACATTCGGACAGCATATGTGCTACAGCCAGTTGGTGATGACTGGCCGTAGCACATATAGTGCTACATACAGAGAGAAAAAGGTATCTAAGCAATAAAACTGATACTGAAGAAAAAGATATGTGAAAAGAAATCTGAATAAACAAGAAAACTCAATATATGGTATCAGAGGAAGCGAGGACAAATTCCAGGAAAACATACCATAAGCAGAAAGAAGCCCAATATTGCCATGAAGTTTAATTTCTTGCAAGTAGTTTTATAGAGGTGGGAAAAACAGTCAATACCTGAAGCTTTCCCCAATTTTCCTTCAAGACTCCATTATAAAAGACCTAAAATGATGATGCATCTGCAAAAACAGAGCAATTGATCAAGACCAGGATATCAGGTGGGGGAAGAGACACACACACACACACACACACACACACACACACACACACACACACACACACACACACACACAAAGTATGGTCATTCAGATAACAAAAAACCTGTCCTCATCTTACCATTCCTCCCCATTATGCAGCAATTGAATAATATTCTATTATTATTCATCTTTAGTATAACAGTGTTGTATGTGATCTACACTATATTGAAAATATACAATTGTACAATATCCAAGGAAAGTAAGAATTCTTTTTAATACTGAAAATTATTTTTAATGTAAAATAATGAGGTATTCATACATTTGAAATAGGTCTTAAATGTACAAAATTAAATCTTGGATGGTTCATACCAGAAAGAAATCAATAATACAATTATCACTATACTGTAACGAGAATCTCTTCCTGTAAGGCAAAACTACAACTGAAAAACATTACAGATTTCCATTAATAAACTATCCTTATACAATAATATTATGATAAACCTTTTAATAATAGGCTATTTCTTTTCATATATTTTTTAACAACGAAGTTATACAATTACACAACTGAAATAATTACTGTGGAAATGGACCCTAATTATAACAATGATGTTCATTATTTATCTTCCCACTATATATATATATATATGTATATATACCCACCATTTCAGTATACAAGCTAGTATTTACACAATACTGAAACCACAAACCTGTTTTTATTAATGTGGTGCCTTTTCTTCAAATACTGTATAGAACTGCCTTCATTTATCCAAGTACAGTGGAACCTCAAAAATCGAACTGCTCCCAACACAACCAATTATGTAAGTGTATTTTTGTAAGTGCTTTTATAAGTGTATTTTTGAGGGTCTGAAATGGACTAATCTAATTTACATTATTCCTGATGAGAATAAATTTGTTTGGTAGCGGCACTTGAACAGCCTTCTGGACCGAAGAAAGTTCGATATTTGAGGTTCCACTGTAAATCAAATCAGTCCTAAGTAAGTGTAAAAATTAACTGCCCGAAGTCTGGCCAACAGATTTCAGTGAGAATGCACAAAAACTGTGCCATCATCACATTTACATACACACAAAGGAAAATGGTTTGAAAGTGCTATGCCTTAGCAGAGACTTCCGAGTGTCCTATTTCTGATGAATCTTCACTTGTTAATTCATCTTTGGGCATCTCTCTATCATCGTTTTTACTACCATAAACATTAGGGTACTGAGACATACACTCTGTCATTCGACTGAAAGGTTCAAAACAGTCACTTCCTTTGGGATCTGCAGTTGAGTAATGGAAACATGTAAATGATTCCCGGAACTCAACACCACAAGGACCTGTGGTCATGCCTCCTAAGCATGGACAAGCCCAGTTGATCTCTCCATCTGGTTGTATTAGTCCTGCTGTTGGAAATATACTAATTATCAGTAACACTCATAATTCTTTATTGAGAATGGTCAAGAAATTCAAAGAAACTAATGACTCTACAAATATAGTTATCAGATAGAGTACATTCTAATATGTAAGAGTATAGACAAACCCAGAAAATTAAGCAGAACTGAAAAAGTAGGAGACTTATTTTCTTGTGTTATATCTAGTGTCAATTGATAAGTCTAGTGATGTGGTTTTGTACAGTTGCACTAAATATGCAAGTACAGTGGACCCTCGACTAACGCTATTAATCCGTTCCTGAGAGCTCATCGTTAGTTAAAATTATCGTTAGTCAAGTTAATTTTCCCCATAAGAAATAATGGAAATCAAATTAATCCGTGTAGGACACCCCAAAGTATGAAAAAAAATTGTTTTTACCACATGAAATATTAATTTTAATACACACAAACTGAAGAAGACATGCACAGTTACATGACACTTACCTTTATTGAAGATCTGGTGATGATTGATGGGATGGGAGGAGGGGAGAGTGTTGATGGTCTTAGTGTTTAGAAGGGGAATCCCCTTCCATTAGGACTTGAGGTGGTAAGTCCTTTTCTGGGGTTACTTCCCTTCCCTTTAAATCTCTCAAACCAACCTTTACTGGCCTTAAATTCACTCACATCACCACTAGTTGCTGGCATTTTTTAATTAAATCGTCATGCAACTTCCTAGCCTTTTCACATATGATCGCTTGAGAGATGCTATCTCCTACTATCTGTTTTTCGTTTATCCACACCAATAACAGTCTCTCAACATCTTTGAGTACTTGCGATCTCAGTTTCGAAAACATAGTTGCACCTTTGGCAAGAACAGCTTCCTTGATTGTCCTTTTCTTGGCCACAATAGTAGCGATGGTTGATTGGGGTTTTGTGTACAACCTGGCCAGCTCGGAGACACGCACTCCACTTTCATACTTAGCAATGATCTCTTTCTTCATATCCATAGTAATTCTCACCCTTTTTGCTGTAGGGTTGGCACTAGAAGCTTTCTTGGGGCCCATGGTGACTTATTTTGCAGGTGCAATCACTAAAAAGGCTGTGATAATATGAAATGTTCCGATTGTATGCTTGGAAGCGACCGCGGTGGCTGGCTGGCTTGTAAACACTGGCCAGAAGTGGACGCGTCTCAGACGGAACGAATAGTGTTGGTCGAGTTTTTTAGCGCTAGTGGAGGCAAAAATTTTGCATTAAAATGTATCGCTAGTCGGATTTATCGTTAATCGATGCCATCGTTGGTCGAGGGTCCACTGTACTGTAATCCGGAACAAGCAAGCAAGACGTAGGAAAAGAGCAATAAAACTAACAGTAGAATTTGTCAGACTAGCATAAGTGATGGATTGTGTTGAAAGATACCATAACTGACATAATTAGCCATTCTTGAAGGATTCAGTGACAAACACAAATGCTAAATTCTTATATAGTAGAAAGCATTTAAGAAATCCAAGGGTGGTAGCCAAAATAAGGGTAAGTCAACAATAATCATGCAGGACAATCTACAAGCAACTAAACTACAAAAAATAAACATTTTAGAAATTCTAAAGTCTTGTGGTGAGAAATGGGCAACGTCCCAAAAAGGAAAAAAATTCATAGTTAGTGTGCATAATTTACCAAGAAATGGTTTGTCAAGAAAATGACCATACTGTACTAAGTGAATATGATGTTGCAGCACAATATTTTTAATACAGTACTACAGAACTTCTACTATCTCCAATTCTTTTTTTAGCCAAATATGGAGAGATTAAATTATTGTGGACAGAAAAATTCTCCCAAACCTCAGTGTACCTGAAGGTTACCTTAAGATGATTTCAGGAGTCACTGTCTCCCACAGCCAGGTCCTCCTAGTTGATGACCTAATCAACCTGGCTGTTGGTGATAGCATGCAGTCCAGTGTTTAGGCATGACAGCTCAGGTGATTATCCAGTTCCCTCTTGAAGACAGCTAAGAGTCTGCTAGTAATTAATTCCCCTTAAGTATGAAGGGATGGTGATTATGACATGTGCAACAATTAGGTACCTTTATTATTGAAACTTTTCGCTTACACAGTAGGCCTCTTCAATCAAATACAAAAGTGACCTAAGTATTTTGACAGAAGATGTAATGGCAAGTTCAAGATGATGTGATCAGTCCATCAACCTTGAAGCAATAGTTTTTGAAGTGGTCGGTCCCTTACCCTGGAGAACGGTTCAGAATGGAGAATGGAGCTTTATATATTACCAGGCTATAGTGCTGAGGGACCAACCACCTCAAAAACTACTTCAAGGTTGATTAACTGTTCACTTCCTCTTTACCTAACCACTACTATTGTTGTCTCCACACTTTTAGTCACCTTAGTATTTGACTGACAAAGACTACTGTGTAAGCAAAACATTTCAATAACAGGGATACCTAACTGCTGCACATGTTTTACTCGTCAACTGGTCGGTAATGTATACTAATTTCATAATAAAACACTCAATGACTTATAATGTTAGGCTAAGAGTTCCTACCTATAGTTATAAGCTAATAGCTATTACCTATCTCAGCTCATTTAAAAGCCTTCCCTAGAATTCTTTTATTAAACCTTTACTGTGAAATACACAAACAAGAAACAGGATGAAGCTGGAGCCAGCTCTGGGCCAAATATTTCTCTTGATCAAGTGACTCTCTCATTAATATTGGGATTTGTGAATTTTGTTCCAAACTCTAGTTAATCTATGAATGAATGAATGATCACAGATGAATTCATGTTCCTGAGATGGATATAGCCAGAGTTTTGCTGTTGCTTGCTGCCCATCTTTTGGTATAAAAGCTGTCCTATCACTGTGTGCAAAGTTTAGAAAAGTGTAGTACCTTGATAACACTGGCCTTGTACATAACAGTAAGGTCACCCCACACCTCTCTGGTGTTGAAGGCTCTGCCAAAATGACAGATTCATCCAGGCTGTGTCCAGGAAAGAGATAAGTCACCTTGCACACTTCTCTATTCTGTCCAGATGTTTCAGATGAAACAGGGAGGGAGGAGTGAAGTGAAGGGCAATGCAAGTTTTGCATACTAAAGAGTGAGAGTGCACTTGTGCCTTATACAGAGCTTTAGACCATCTGCTGTTAACCCCTTGACTGTCGCAACCCCAAATCCTGAGGTGTCTCCTGGTGTCGCAAAACTCCCCCCCACCCCCCAAAAAAATCCTTATGAAATGATAGAGAACCTTTTCCCGATTGTAATGACACCAAAAGAACGAAATTTGATGCAAAACTGACGGAATTACGCTCTCGCGAAGTTAGCGACCTCTGTGATATTTACGAATCAGTGATTTCGCCTACTTTGAGCCCTATTTTCAGCTATTTCTTTAGAACTCCATTTTTTCTATCGACTGAGTACAAGAAACTGCCAATTTACCAATTTCAACTACCCAATAACGTGGTCAGAAATTTGCAATTTGGCCAATTTTTCCTGGCTCTAAAATAACATTTTCTTTGTTCATCCGTCATGTCTCCAGGCCCCTCTGATATTACTCTTGCTTTCTATTTTGAATTTTTATTCAAACAAAAAGTAGAAGATTTACTGTTATGCAGACAACTGCAATATTGTAATAATTGTATAAATAATGTCAACCCATTCAAGACTGTATATTAGAATGGCTACTTGGACATTTATTGGAAAACAACATCATTTGTTTGCTTTTGAACATCAAAAATCAAACATTTCCCCTACTTTGAGCTCCATTTCAAGGTTCTTTTCATAGTAAAACCATTCAAAATCACCTCTATTTCTATAACATGTTTTCCATTCTATCAAATGAGACCAAGAAAACGAGAATACAACTATAAATACTATACAAAAATAGACCACAAAGTCGGCATTTTAATTAAAAAAGCAGTAGGAGTTTTTTTTTCTCATTATGCACTGCGTGCTGCAGGATTTTTTTATATGGTGCACACTGACCACACAGACCCATTCTCTCACATGTGGGCCTACCAGCTTTCTGCTGCTTGATTTGAAGCCACTAGAATTTATGAGTATACATACGTCAAAAAGAGTGGCTCGTAAGACGTATACACACAACCAAAACAGTCAAAGGGTTAAGCACGTATGAGATACGTCATAGTGCAGTTCGCTTCTTGGCATTCCAACTTCCGAGATTTACCACACGATTCTTCATAGACATTTTGGAGTCGTATTTCACTCTTAGGACATCCAGTTCATCCCAACATTCAAAACTCTTTCATTAATTCTTACCACAGCTCCACGCTCTCTAGAAGCCATAATTATTTGCATTTTCGCAGAAGTAAACGTAACTTGCCATCATTTTCCCCATGTCAATGTGCCGCAGACGTAAATGTCTTGAATCATCATTAATCGCTGTTTCTAACACAATTAACCCTTAAACTGTCCAAACAGATCTACGTTCACATGCGTAGTGCTCCAAAAGTAGATCTACGTGTTTTTTACATATTTTCAAACATAACAAAAAAAACGATCAAAGTTTTTTTACACATTTTCAAATGTAAAAAAAAAAAAAAAAGGATCTACTTTTTTACATACTTTCAAATGTTGAAAAAAAATAGATCTACGTTTGGACAGTTTAAGGGTTAAGCAAAATAAAGGCAGCTTCATCATCTTTGAAGTACATGTATTAGCAAGAATCCTCCTCAAAAAAATAAACCCTGTCATCACATAGTTGTTGCTGCTAATACAGTGGAACCTAGCCTAACGAATGCATCGCGTAACGTTAAATCTGCATACCGATACATTTCAACGCAAAAATTTTGCCTCGGCTAGCGCTAAAAAACTCGCTCAACGCGGTTCGTTCGAGACGCATCCACGTGCGGCCTGAGCCCACCTCACTTGTTCCGTGGGTGCCAGTGTTTACAAGCCAGCCACCGCGGTCGCTTCCAAGCATACAATCGGAACATTTCATATTATCACAGCCTTTTTAGTGATTGCACCTGCAAAATAAGTCACCATGGGCCCCAAGAAAGCTTCTAGTG